GGCCCCCGGGGATCCCTGCGTGACATCAGGAGAGAAGGACAGAAGTGGGAACAGGCAGACTTTCCTGTGGATGGCCAAAGAGCACCAATGGTGGTCAGACTCTGCAGCATTGTTTTTTCTTTTTCTTTTTCTTCTTTTTTTTTCTAATAACAAAACAGGTCCTTATGGGCCTGGCTCCATATCTATTCTGGGGAGCGTCAGTCCGGTTCCTATTCCCCCGGCAAGTCGTATGAACAGAGTTACATCAATATACACACACACGCTCCCTTCCATCTGGCCGAAGGGTCCCTGAACAGCATTGATTGCTCCACAGATCTGGACAGCTTGCCTTTCCCTGAAATTCCTCTCAAGCTCCTCTATAGGGGCCTGTCAGATATGCGAGTATTGCAAGTAAACCAGAGAACCTAGCTCAGTGAATTGACACTGAAGACTCTCATGTATCCCTGTAGTCCTGCCGTCCAGCCTGTAGAGAAGCTCTTGTTCTTTGGGGAGTCTCTGAGTTGTGTCATTCCTTCCATCTGATTTGCAGAGCGTGAATGTCCGCCATCTTCCCGTTGACTAGCCACACCCTCCTGAACTTGGATATCACTTCTAATTGCTTCTCCAGATTCTGCTCAATTTGGAGTTTGACCTTCTTCCATTGGCACCGGATATCAGTTTCCGTAAAGAGTCTCGTTGATGTCCAGACTTGCTCCGCCTGATTGTTGGAGTTGTCGATAGTTCTGTTACACCTCTCCTTCCAGATGACCCAGAGAGTCACCTTCCTGATTATTCCAAACCAGATGCGTTCAGATGTAGAGAATTGGAAAGGGATATTAGTCAATAGGAGTGGTTGTGATTCTGCAGCATTGTTCGGCGAGAGGAAAGAGGAGAAACAGAGACAATGAGAGAAAGAGAAGTGGGCTGTGCACAGAGAGAGAGTAGGAGACTACCATAGTATAGGCAGCCATATCATAGTAGAGCTGCTACATTGTGGTTGTATTGATGAGTGGAGGTGACAAGTTGTGATTCCTTTATTAAGAGACTTCAATGCCAGTGTGTTCTAATTTGGTGTGCTCTCGGCTTTGTAATTCAGCTTTCGACTTTGCTGGTGTATGCCTGTTCTGCTTTTGAGTCTTTTGCTGCTCGGAAACTTTGTGTTCCCATTGATTGGTTCCTTGCATTTAAATACAGTTGTCCGGAAATTCAGACAAAGAAAAGGTACCGCACATCTGCTAGCCTGGACACAACATAGGTTTTTTGCCGACATTTTTTTAGGATTTTCCATTTTCTTATTTTGTGCGGGGGCTTCCCAGGACCTTGACCAGGACCTTGCCCGGACCTGGCCAGGTCAGCAAGCCAGCCTGAGGCAGACTGGGCAGCCCCGCTGGCAGCCCTGCTTTCTTTTCGTTTCTGTTTCAATAGCAGGAGCTCTCAATCAGGGCTCCATTCTCCCAAACACTTTATGTAACCGATCAACCATTTGGAACTAGATAGACTTTTCTTGTTTTGCCATAACATGACCTCTCAATCAGGGTTCTCTTCCATTAAGTCTGGTACTTCATCAAGTCATTTAAATACATGAATGCCATGAAAGCGAACGGCAACAGCATCGATTTCCTCCTTGAACTAGATAGACTTATCCGGGTAGCACATCCATTTGCTTAGAGATATAGATGCGTGCGCTAATGCAGAGTGATATGGGTGGGGACTGGTCGCTAGCTCCACTTACGAGGCTTGGTTTCCGGATCTGCGTCCATGACTGAGATAGCAGTGCAGATGGAAGTAGAGTCTGACATGTAGTTGGCTTCCGTCGGCACCTCTGAGATTGGTTCGGACTCCGCTTCTGACCACCAATCTTCTGCTCCACCCTTGTTCCCATGCTGCTGCTGCATGAGATTTCCATCCTTACCCTGCACAATCTTCCCAGTTCCCTCAGTTTCTACACTGGTTGGACTTTCTGCGCCATCTGGCAGCCCATCAGACCTTGGCGAACCTGGAAGTGATCCACCCTGGAAAGCAAGGGAAGGCAGAGCACTGCTTCCCTTCTTTGTTATGTACTTCACTGCAGAGTTACCACCTCCATCAAAGTGAACATTGTTGCTATCTGTCCGCAATGTCAACACAAGAAAAATAAGGGATGCAGCTCAGGTGAGTAGGAGACATCACAACCAACCATCTGTCCGCAAAATGTCAAGACTCTGACGCGACAATCTCATGCTACTTTGATGGTCAGCCACTGACGAACTTAACTTCCAAACCTATCAAGCTTCATCCTGGGAAATGACTTACAAGATAGCATGGGTGGCATCACTCACTTTCCAAGTCATTGCAATGAAGGGGACCAGAGATTGACCTTGTGTATGCAGTGGAGGGCAAGCTATGCCAAGTGGAGGGGAAGGTAGTGAGTTAACCATGGTCCAGGCACTGCTTATGAACCAGTTCCACATATTGAAGCATCCTCGGCAGTCACCCACTACTCCGAACTGGCACCGCCCCCAAACTCTCTCTCTCTCTCTCTCTCTCTCTCTCTCTCTCTCTCTCTCTCTCTCTCTCTCTCTCTCTCTCTCTCTCTGCCTGTTGTGTGTGTGTGTGTGTGTGTGTGCATGTGTGTGTGTGTGTGTGTGCATGTGTGTGTGTAAGTGTGTGTGTGTCTGTGTTTTGAATTTTCACCACAACAGCCCCTGTTCCCACCCAGATGAGTAGATCCAAAATCAAAGCATATTCAATCCTATTGCAGACAATGAAAACCCTTGAGTTGAGACAACCCAACAATGAAACAGTTTCACCTCGATAGCAAGCAACATGGAGTATAATAGAGGAATTTAAACCCCTTTCTTAATTGTGTTCACGCTTGTTTTCCGTGGGGTGCACCTTTCATTTGTTCTTGCAGCTCCCCTTTTACTGTGCCTCTCATGTACATGGCTCGCCACGTGGATTGTGGTTGAGCGCGAGCTGCCCACATCCCCGTGTGCCGTTATGGCCCACTTGCACACCATGAAAGCAGGCAGAGCAAAGGCAGAGGTATATTCCTGTTCATTTCTTCTCAGATCTTCAACTTTGTCTGTTCTCTTAATGATGCTCATTCGTATGTATTACTAGTACTACACAAGAGGAGGGAGGAAGCAAATGGGAGGTGGTGTTATGAAAGGGTTCTAAATAGTGACCGCTAGAGCAGACCACTCTAGACTGGCACCTGAGGCGACGCAGTGTTTGAGTTGCATAAGATTTGAGGAGCAGTCATTGCCTATGGTAAGTGGCCACCTCTACAGACCCGGCAGGACCGGTTTGGGTGTAGCCTGTGGAAGCACCGCATCCAATTCTCACAGTCACAGTTACCGAATCGAATGGCACGGCGTAGACAGATTTCAGGCTATGCGGCTCCTACCTGCTAGGAACATAGAGGCACGCCGACCATGATTGTAGAGGCATTGTCATTCCAACCTCTGTCTACAAATTGGACATGACATGTCAGGGTGACATACACGAGTGTTGTGTCGACTCTCATCATATGTATGAACACAAAAGCCCGCCCCGGCTATCCCTTCATAATCCTCATGGCATAAGGCATCCTATCGACATAAGGCATGCGAACGACATGCTAGCTGAATCTCCGGTGGGTCAGCACAAAGTGGCATGCAGCAGGTTTCTTGGGTTCCCTCAGTATTTATTCCTTCTCTATGGGTAGAAGACGACGGGGGAGATCGACCCAAAACCAGGGTGTTTAGCTGCTGCAGGATTTGGTCGACAACAGCTCGCACTGGTGGCGATAACCTATCAGTACAGCGCTATGTAGGTGGTTCATATGGTACTCTATTTTCCTCCCCAGGCTTCTGTGTCTGTCATTCGTCTTGCAGGGAAGAAGGAATTCGGTCTGCCATTGCAGTACGTGTATGACCAACACCACATGTGGGACATGCTACGAGAGGGTGCAGCAGATGATGGCATCTGGCATAGTCCATTTAGTAGATACACATACTTTCTATGACAGCTTCCTGGAAACGTTGAGGACACATGGCATGTTGCTGACATGTCATCGGCAAAGAAGGCTGATGTGCGCAGTTATTTCAACATGGCAGATCAAGGCCACAACGGCATTCTGGGCACGTAATCCAAGGGTGGGGGGGATGAGCACAAGACAAAGGACCACAGTTTTCCTGGCAGAGGCTGGCAACGACCATCCCTTCATAGTGTTCGGAGCAGAGGCTATGCTTTGTACATGCTCACCGAACTGTACCTGTTTGGGAAGAAATGTATTGACATTTTTAAGAACTGTAAGGGGAGAAAAACAGATGGACGGATGCAGCAAGCTGAAGAGAGTGGGGTGTACTTACCCACGGAAGAAGACTGCAGCGGCACAGAGCGCTGCAACAACTTTGAGCGGGAGACGATGCATGGACAGATATCGCTTCAAGAAGCTGCCACAGGATGATACTCGAGATCTTGGATCCGAACGCAAGTAGCTAACAACAGGCATACGTACAAAGATGGTCACATGCTACAAACGCAGGAAATGTAACACTGGAACTCTGCTGAGAGTGCAGAAACTCACCGGGACCAGTGACCCGATTGTTGCATACGATTTCTTGAAGTATCATGAAAACGTGTGACTACAGGACTAAGTTTTTTTAGGAAAAAGGCCCACGGGTAGTTCCCGCGGGGTCCTGTAGTTAAAAAATAAATAAAATTTGTTTGGAGACAGAGGACCACGGGAGGAATCCCGCTGAGTTCCATAGAGTAGGAATATGCAACTTGGAGGGCAGGGTTGCATCCCCGCCGACCGTATTGTACCGACCTATCAGGGCCGACCGGTCGGCGGTAGCCGACGGCTCAGAAAACAGTCTCCCTCTTTTTTTTTTTTTTTTGTTCTGACTTC